GGAAACAAGATGGATTGGCACCTGGAGACGTCGGAAGCAGCCATCAAGACTCGTCAGTGGACGACATCTCATGAACTGCGTCGGACAGGTTTAGGCAAATGGCACGATTGGAACAAAAAACCCAGCCACAAAAATATAACGTCAGCCTAGTCGACTGGAGCAGCAAGTACCAGCTAATTCGGAACACGAGCGCCCTAACTCCACTGCTCTTTGAAAAGCGCCGCTGGTTTTGACCTGCAAAGGCTGTGAGTTACAGTATCTGATGGAACGGGAGTGAGAGCTTTTTACTAATAGTAGGATAGGTAGAGCCTGCTACTGACGAAAGACCCCAGAAGAGAAAGCGGACCTACGTAGCCAATGAGGTAAGGTGCGGGTGGAGTATGGCCGAGCAGAGTCAAATTTTGGACCGAAGCGAACTAAAAATCCCTTTTCAGCTGCAGGGGTATTCCATAACTCGCATCGACGGCGAACGATGGAAGGTCTTGCGGCATTCATAGGGCGAGAAGAAAAGACAAATCTTTACTTGAAAATTGCGCGGCCGACTAAAATAAGGTTGAAAAAGAGAAATAGTTAAAAGGAACTCAGTGGAATAATAGCATCGATTGTGGGAGATCGACAAAAATGACAGGGGAAGGGGGTGAAAATACACAGATCTGCTTATGCAGGGAGCTTTTTGAAATGCAGAGATTTGTTTGCTTTTTGCCATGTTTGTCACGTACTTGGAAAAAAATTATTCGTCAAATCGCCAAGCGGCTTACATAGGAGGTGCTCTGTGTACCTAATATAAATGCTGGTGGAAGAGGGGGACAAAAACAAGAAACTAACAAAGTACACAAATAGCAGTCCCTCCCCTCTATTTCATCCCCCTTCCGTGCAAGGACATGTTTATATACACGGGGTTAGAGTGGGAGAGACGGCTGGTGGGATGTCGACCGAGGTAGCAAATACAATCACGAAGTTAAGTTGTTTGGGTAGCTGAAATGTGTAGGAGATGTTCCGTCCTGACAACGAAGCGATAAAAATGCGTAGACAAAGAAAATAAAAAATGGGGGGATAAACGACGGAAAAACTCTGTGGGGGTGGGACGGAGAGGGAGAATGAGAACCTGGACGACGGAGTGGGGGGATAGGGGAAGAGGGAGAAGTTAAGTGAGCCGTAGGAGAGGAGCCAAGGGAAGACAGTAATGGTAAATCAAGGGAAAGGGTGGGATTAAAGCAGGGTGATAAATGATGGATAGACGTTTTAATGGGGTTCAGTTCGCAAGGAGAGTGGGTCGGGGGCAGGAAAAAAGGCAGCATGACCACCCGAGAGCGGCTGATGACTCAGCAGACGAAGGCGGGCAAAATCCTCAAAGATGAGGTCATCTTCGCTGGAGGCGGGGAGGGCCGAGGAAGAGGTTGTAGCAAAAGCCCCAGTGCTGGCAGTCACACTTTGAACGGTACGCGAGGGATGAGGGGCATTCGGAGTGAGGCTGCAAGGCACCACAGGTAAATGGAAGAGGGATGCAGGGCCGGCGGTGTCGGTGAGGATGCCGGCGGAAGTAGCAAGGACACCACTACTGCCGTTGTTGGTGTTACAGTTAGGGCCCATCTGGCCAAGAGGTAATAAAGGCAAGGCGGCATCAGTGTTGCCCAACTGACGCGTCAGCAAGAGAGGGCGTGGTGGTGAGGGGCCAAGACTTGCAAGCTTCTGAGTAGGAGTATTTGGACCCGCAGAGCTGGGGAAGGAACGCAAGGCTGCCCTCGACTCCGATACGGGTAGAGTGGGTTGGCCAAAACCCTTCGAACTAAGGAAGGTGAAAAATAGTTTGGAGGCATGGCTGCATAATTACTTTTGTCTGAAACGACCCGATAATCAGCACCATTATCCTGAAGAATCACTTTGCACGCAGATGGGGTAAAAACAGATGGTGGGGTATTTTGCCAGTACACTGCCGTCGAAAATCAACTGTACCTGCCATTAGGGGCCGCCTAGAAAACCGAAGTGCGCACTAGTAAGTCTACCCCAGACGCCTTACCGGGGCACTCGTACAACATCTGAGCGCGTTCTCGAGCATCCAAGGAAACAACAATACCGCCCTCCGATACCAAGATTGGCTGAGACCAACTAGTTCATTCCTCTAAGTGATTTTTCCCACTGTTAAGGCGAACATGATAATTACGAGTTAATTAGTTTACTCACAACGAACCCCTCTGCACAGGAAGTCGATACGGTTGTCTTTATGCTTGCTTCACAAATCAGCAAGTTTGCTGGATCATCGGTGGAATGTCGTTGTTTTTACAGCTGATCATTTTGGGTGGCCAACCACACCCTTTGGCAGCACTGATCTCAGGAAATGTAGCCAGAAACAGCGAATTGCAACCCCTCTATCGGTATGAAGCCTACCTTTCAGGCAAATTTATCTGCCCTGGGAAATTATTCAGGCGCACACACATAAACTCTGGATGAACAGTTGACGTCAACTTGACTGACACGGGTGCATCGGCAAAAACCGCGAGCTGGAAGGGTCGTTGTTGATCAAAAGACCTGCTACATTAGCCGGGGTCAATAGGTCAATCCTCATGCGAAAGACAGCTTTACATCTCAAAAACCGATTAGCAAACGGTTGCAGAATGAAGACGTATTACAGCCTAAGCGAAAGTAAGCAACGCAGTACATCCAATGTCGGTGGCCGAAAAAAATAAAAAAGAAGCAGCATCAGTGACTGCAGCTAAACAGGCAGGCGTAGAATCATCTTTTTAAATAACGTGGTTAATATAGCCGTGGTGGGATGACAGGACCCACTCGTTGGCCTCGAGAAGGCGCGATGCGAAATAAGCAGTCTCAGATCGCCAAACATGCGGTACTTGCGGGTGTGGCCAGGTATTGAATTGGCAAATAGGTTATTTTTAAAAAGGTCACAAGCCATTTCAGCACTACGACGTGGTCAATATTGCCCACTACAATATAGGTGGTCTTCAGTCCACATTGTTCGGCTTAATCTTCAAATCCCAACTTAGAGTGCCGCAGGGTGGGTGGAGGCGTTCAGTATCGCCCTAGGTACCAAAGGAAGTCGTCCCTTTAACGTAGCCCGAGGTGGCCTCGTCCGGCGGATCATGGCATAACGTAGTGCATGAAGGTGGCCAGCTCGCAACTGCTGCATCTGGTTCCTACAAAGTATAGGGGAAAAGACTAGCGGATATGACATCGGATCAAAGTCAGTGGCATTCGCGTAAACTGTTTTCGGTTCGAGTTCCTTGGGCTGATTCCTGAACACCTTGTTTCCAAAGTTAGGCCTTCTGTATTGGGAGTGGACGGCAGAAACAGCAACTATGCCGATGAAGTGATGATAGTGACAAATGTCAAGGTGCACGAAGCGGTCATTCTATTCACATCCATAAGTCCACAAGGCTGTTGAGTGTACGCATCACAACCGGGCAGTTGCCTCGGCAGGTAGACAGAAGTTAATTTGGGGAACCGGGTGAATCTGTGTGAGGCTTGCTTCGGACATGGCAGAGAGCAGCCGTGGTATAGAACAATATGACAAGTTATACCTGCGCTCAAACGCGCCTGCAGTTGCACTGGCCAAATCCTTTAAACTGAACACGATAAGGAAGAAACGGGATGGTATTGATGCAAGTCTCCCCAATATAATTTAATTTATGCACATATCATCGATGCTATGCAGGACAACAACGACCATTGTAGCTGTTGGCAGGAGCGTTAACAAATAAAGTAAATGGACTGGGAGAGGCGACAGGCCATTGCAGGTTCATCCTATGCAACATACGTTGGCAGGCATTCGAGCTGATACAGGACACGAAACCCCGATCTGAGCGAGAGGGTGGATTAAAGAGAGTAAATTTACAGTCGACGGACCGACAATCAACCAGCACGACAAACTAACTCGGCCAAGCCAGAAATATTTGCCCCGGTCTTCAAAGTCTTCATTGGCGAAAACACAAAGAAAGAAACCTGCAATTAAGGGTTAAACTAGAAAAGGACAGCTGGAGCTAACCAGCCGAACCATGGCCTTCGCAGATGATCGTTTGGAATCGAGGAGCAGTGACTAACGGGAAATGTGGAAACCTATCTGGCTTACACGTTATCCAAGAGCAGACAGACGTCATATGCAAACCCCAACGACCTCACAATTGAGCCCTAACGCACCGTTTCGAGGCGGATTGAGGTCAGAAGCTCTGCCGCAATGCTATGGGCTTAAGGTCTGTAATATTGACAGTAAGTGCAACTGACGTTCGCCTATAAGGTCTGACCGCAGCATAAAACACTCATCCACTCGCAGACGGCCACCCCGGAAGACCTACACGAACTGGCTGGCTTGGCAACCAATATCAGTCTGTGACGACCTAGGTCCAGCGAGGCGAATGCGCACTGTCGATTTAATACAATGCCACAAAATGAACGGAGTGTATACACGCAACTAACCAGAGGCCGATAATACTCTGCCAACTGAACTGTGATCAACCAATAAGTTCCCGGCAGCGTCATCATGCAAAGAATTCTTCCATGGTCATTGAAGTGAGGTGGGGTAAAAATCCTCAGGGGACCATAAAATCCTGTCTACGAGACCAAGTGGCAGTCAGGTTTTTCTCAGGTACATCCAAAAAAGTTCAGGACTAATGTACAAAGAGCAGCCGGATTTCGACCATCGTGAGAACTATCGTCTATCAAAGATTGCCGGTGGTGGCTAAGCGATGATTGAATACTGAAAGATTGGTATGTGTTGTCGAACGTTCGGTATCACCGGAAACGATGTTGTTTGGAGTCGTGTTCACGAGTCCCGACTGGCTCTCACTGGGGCCAGTCCGGCAGCGATACTGCAGTTATTTTTTGGATATAACAAAATAAAGGGTTAAAGGAGGGAAGTGGAACTTAGTGACAAATCCATCTTCCTTCGATGGGATCGAACATACCCATTAAAAGACGGAGAGATTCCTGTAGGCGAAAAATTGGGAAAATCGGAGAGAGCAAAGGTGGATGGGAAGCGTGTCGACGGCAAATAACAGTAGGCAGCAAAACCTTGCGATTGGCTAGAGGGACCAACATCCATCGCGCGCAGGAAGCCTGCTATGTGACCAGTCGGTGTGGCCGGTTCCGTTCGGATGCCCGCTCCACCACTACCACCCGCATCTTTGACATCCTCCGAGGTAACTTGATGTAGAGAAAGGTGTTGGTTCGGCAATGGCTTTCCAGCGAATTTGAGCGGAGGAGGATCGCTCACAGGCGGTGATGCGTTCAATGCGGCCTGTGTACGCACCGCTACGCCCATCTGCGGTGCACCAGACTGTGTGAGGGGCGGTTTGCGCACACTTATAGGCGCCAGAGAGTGCGAAAAAATACTTGTTCTTGCGATACCAGGATCTATTTGATTATCATCGCCGACGCAACTGTTGGGCGCGGAGTGGGCGTGGTTGGTAGACTCTTCATTCTTCGCGTCAAACCAATCGAAATGGAACTCCTGGTCCAGATGGTCTTCCGTCATGCTGGCCTCGCAGTTCGGGTGAGTAAGAATGAAGGGCAATTCCAGGCAGACGTCGCTATAAAAGGAACAGATTGGCCAAATTAACACTTGACAGAAGTTGCTGCGTATCTCAAGCATATTCCTGTGTGGAAGGAGAGTAGGAAAAGAGTGGCTTGAACGCCATTACGAAAACAGAAATCAGGTCCTACTTCGGGGTTTGCGTGCGTAGGATAGGTTCCGGGCGCAAAAAGAGGCTAGTTATCATTGAGTTAGCTCAACAGGCCGAGAGCAACGTACGGTATGGTTCATAAAGCAGCAAATGATGTTAATGGATAGCAAAGATTTTCCAAGTTGGCAGGAATAGGCAAATGTACGGGATATAACCTCAAGAATCAGACAGGTAGCAGCACAATGGATCTCAATTTAAGATTCCCAAAGTCACTTAAGACGATGTTTCCCAAAACGGTCCTACACAGTCAGCATGAGCTTTCTCATCTGTTTCTAGAAATGTGCATAAAGACAAAAGTTTCCTTGGAGAAGGCCAACCAAAACTTGATTTGGTGAACACATTTCAGGTATTTGGCAGAGGGAAAAATCTGGCTTCAATGAATCGATTTTAAAAGACACTACTCCTTTTTGTGCAGAAATGAAATTTTCTATTGTTTAGAACATATTTTATCGGAAGGCGACTTGGAAATTAGATTCACCGCATAAAAAGGACAACTTAAGACGCACAATCTACCGAAGTATTGACAGAAAGACCGGTGTGCTAGGTAGGGAAAACCAAAATATTTCCAGTTGCAAGACTGCATGTTTGCGCACCTTAAGGCAATCAAAGACCACCAGATGTCCACTTCTGACAAGGAAACGGCAACTCAAGTTTACAATGACAGTAAGGACATTACGGAACTGCCTACGGAACTGGTGGTAGTGGCGACGCTGTTGGGGGTGGAACTGTTATTTGCAGAGTTGGGTCCTGCCGTTCTAAGTGCGCATTTGGCCACAAAGACCCAAGCATGGGCGGGTCGGGACTCCACGCGCTGGTTTACTGGCTCACGACAGAACAGTAAGTAACCGGCTAGGACGATGCGTGATTTGAAAGTGCGGCCACAATGAGGGCAGGCTGGAAGGGTGTCCGCAGGGTCATCATTGGGAGGATGGTGGGCGTTCCCGTACGACACTCCGACTGTCGTAAGTAACAACCTCCATCGAGTGTCCCACGGAGTAGGCGCAGAGTTGGTGGCTTGCACACGAATTCATTTATAGTGAGGCAGACTTTCGCAGCACCCACCTCACTCTCTCCTCCCTCACTTGCCTCTCTTCAACGGCAAAAGAATGTGAAAACGACCGGAGTTGGACCCGGGTGTAGTAGCTGACAATGCTAAGCCCGTCAGAGGCAGTCACACACGAACCGATCCACACTACGTGCGCAAGGCCACTGTATGGGCAGCTCGGATCGCAGATCGATGTGAGTCCTTTAAGGACCACATTATGAGGGAGTCGCTGAGGAGTGGCCTTTAGCCCTAAGCAGGGCCACGTTATTCCTTCAATTGGCGGCATTCCAAGCCACAACTGTTGGCGTATCGCGGTAGATTTAAGCGATTCGGGCTTACGGCTGAAAGGAATGCGCTACATTTCAGTGATGACAAATATCTCAGTGTCCGTCTCATTCTATCTCACATCCTTCATGCGCAATCCGACTACCCGAGTCTGCCAATTAACTAGTGATAGGATTGGGCACACCTACATGACACCATCACCAACATGACGCACAATCCTGGCACATCAGTGGTGAGGACCCGGTCTATACCTGTCCTCATTGCGATAGCACCTTCACCTCACACATCGGCCTGGTTGGTCACTTGCGAATTCATCGCACGGAGACTGCCGAACCAGTGCCTGGAGCACCAACCTACACCCGCCGCATTCGCCACCACTGTCCACACTGTCCTTGAACATTCATGAACCGCAGGGGCCTATTCGGTCAAATGCGTATTCAAGGGAGCAGAACTGACCGCAGCCCTGACACCCCGCACACCCACCAAGCCTAGTTCCGCCCACGCTCCGCAGACCAGCGCGCCCACCGACACCAGCTCCGCCACACTCAGTACATCTTACACGCCTACCATGCTCAACCCAACCCACATCCCATTGCCCAGCGTGCCCACCAATACCACCACCTCTACCGCCAAATATGATACCGACACCGCCGACCTCTCATTCCCACACTATCCCCGCATACCCACCTCACGCATCGGCCTAATCGGTCACTTGCGAATATATCGCACAGACCGGCGAAGAAGGGCCTGGAGCATCAACCGACATTCACCGCATCCGCCTTCACTGTCCACATTGCACTCGCACATCTATTTACCGCATGGGTCTAGCAGGCCACATGCGCATCCACGAAAACCTACGATAGACAACCACCGACTGCACCACATCATAACATCCTCCCTCACCAGCAACTCAATGAACATCAAAATCACCCACCGCAAGCACTAAACTGTCACCCCCCACGCAAATGGGATGAGTGCGTCACGGCTCCTTCTCCCTGCGGCTCTCCTGCTGCATGTGTGATCGGAATCTGAGACGAAGACGGTGCGTCGAGCGCCGTGGCTCGGAAGGGAGGCGACTGACGCCCCAACTCAGTTCACGCAGTCCGTCCAGTTGTGTGTGTTTGTGTGGAGTGGCAAACTCGTGAGCTGAGAGCTAGGCTGAAACGGATCCTTCTCCAGCGATCTGTGACACTCATGTATGTGAGGAGATTATATATACTTTATGGGTAGTGCCTCTCAGTCGACGACTCAGTCGAAGACTGTTTGTTTACCTAACCTTGAAGGCTGACGGTCCAGGCTGTATGCAGGACCACGTGTCACCCGTTTAAGTCAAAAGGTCTGTAGGCGTGTGCTACGCCAGTATCAGCAAACCATGGCCCTCTCAGCCTGGTATGCGCTGGCAGTTCCCTGACACCTGGTGCCCTGCCGGTAGAAGCGTTTGAGCTCCCGCTAGGTGCACAGGTGGGTGCCCAGTCACCCTTGTCGTTCTGGTCCCTGTTGGGGTGTTGTTGTTGTTGGCGAAAAATCTTGGTCATTTTCTGTGTGGACGAGGGTGGTGGCACGCCTAGGTGCGGTTCCGGCCGTGCGAGCCACCTGCGCCCTCTCCCCATTTCCGGTCTCCTTGGCTCTGTTTCGAAACCGGTTCCAGTTTGGGAGTGAAAAGAGAGCGAGGTAGATGCTGTGCAAGTCTACAATCACTCTAATTCACGCGCAAGTTACCGTCCCTGCATCGCCTTGCTGTGAAGCACACGGTGGACATCGTCGAACTTGACGGCCGAACTATCGATAGGATTGGGCGCAAGGGCTTAAAAAGCTAAGCAGCCCGCCCACGCGTTCTGCACACGACATGATACGCACTCCAGATGGAGAAAAATTTGTTATCTGCCATAGTGGGAAGGTTTCTTTAAAAAATATGTCTACGTATAGCCAGTGGTATTCGTGTGTTTCTGACTGTTCATTATTTTCCCAACATTTCGACCTTCGTGTAATTCAGCCGAGGATGATCAGTGATAAATATCACGGTTAGAGTGGAGAGCCACACAGGGGAGGTCCGTCTTTTAAAAAAATCCAACCACCGAGGATACTTTATCAAAATCCGAAAAAATATAAGATCGCACGCAAGCAAAATAATAACGAACCTTAACCCAAATCCGAGTACAAGACGTATTTTCACTTTGTATCGAACAACAATACCCATTGGCTCGTGGGAAGACTTTGGTGAAGCCCTGGCGTAAACGGAGAAAAGGGATAAGCGCTAAGGGTAACGGCTTGTGAAGGACAAAATTACTTTCGGTCGAAGATAAATACAAATCTACTTACATAGTAGAGGAGGCTAGATTGGTGTCCTCATTCTTTAGGTCACCGTCAAGAGCGAGCCCTGGCTTATCGCGGTTATTAGCCAATAATGGGCACAGGCGGTAGATCTTGCACCAGCCCGTCTGGCTTGGGGAAATCGGGAAGCCCTCACTAAAGAATGGACAAAAGTAACGCGCTGGATAGGTGTGCATCCAGGGATAGAAATGATTTCCGATTGAATCACCGTTTTTGGCATGTGGAAATTGGCCAGAACTGACGATTCTAGAGAAGACAACTGATGACAAACAATAACAGGGCGCATTTTATCGCCCGTGACCATCAACAAACACATCCAACCACTTAGATAAGTGAGCAAAAAATTCCGATAGTAAATAACACCCGCATGTTAATTCGGGTGCATTACAGATGCATGGCTGACAAGGAGACAAGTTTCCAATTAGTACTGGTATATGAAACTAAAGAGAATGACATTGATAAATGACTGAATCAGATGGTCGAATTTTGGAGGATGTCCATCACTGTAGGACGACCAAAAACCCTCTGAACGAAAAATGATAACCTGACATAATTACATCTGGAAAAGGCTTTGAACCACTGTACATAGAGAATAGGACTTACTCTGACTGAAGCTCCGCCACGTTGCACTTGTAGTGATTGGCATTCGGAAGACAAATCGAGGTATACTGACGAACTGAAAGACGAATACACAGTAGTCATCAAAATCGTAAATTTCGGCTTTCAAATGAGAAAATTTCCAGCGTGGGAAGGACAATCAAGGACTGAATCCGCCCTGACGGTAGTTAATGCGGAGGATGTGCGTTCTACTGAGGCTGCAAAATTCCAATGTAAGCAGCGAGTGGAAATAAAGGAAACTGAATGATGAAAAATTACGCTATCGAGGGGTACCCCATTTCCTAAAGACGCGGTGTAGGAAGCAGGAAATGAAGGAAGACTTGCGGTTTAATTGCTGCACACTGTCGGCGCTTGCGGAAGTAAACTCCTTCGCAGAACACAGGTGAATTATGATTAGTAATGTTAAACGTGGAAGAGACGAGTAGTATAAAGTAAATAAAGTTGGGATTGCGACCATACAGTATGCAATCTAACTCATGAAATGTAATGACGGAAACTGAGACGATCAACTAAAATGCTGCACATTTTAATTATTTGTCTAGATTATTCCGGCAAATGTCTTTTTTTGTGTGCACAATGTTTATAAGTAGTTTCATCAGAAAAATGTTCACAAATTTGAGCGGAATTCTATGCTACTTTCTGTTACGGAGGTTTCCTATGCTAATAGCTATCCTAGACTAAGTTTGCGCATCCGAGCGTATTTTCTATAAAAGGAGAGTAGCCTAAACTCGAGAGTTTTACCAAACGAAACTTACCGCAGCCGAAAAGTGACTTTTTTCACCAAGTAAATCAGATAAAACAAGGTTTAAGCAAGCTGGTTATTTTTAGAGAACCAGACATTACAGATGTTAAGGTCAGATTTGCAAATCTGTGTGATTTCATACCCTAAAACGCAGTAATAAAGCTTACTGACATTCCTTTTTTAAACGTTCTGCTATTTTGCTGCTATTTGCAAATACCTAATAACTTACCGCGGAAAGGCCCCCCACAAAATGGCAATGTCAACTTTGGAGCATACGGTATAATGCTTTTTGTATGGCCTAGATATCTGCTAGTGCGCTATTTATAAAACGAACAGGCAGAAGATTAGCAGTTTTCACAATATCTTACTATTTATACGGCCACCCAGCTGTGCATTTACAATCTTAGAACGGAGACTATAGGGAAATAAATATACAAAAAAGGCTCCAATATAGAGGGGAAAGTGAGTCTTTTTACTTGTCGCAGAGGCATTATCAATAATTTTCAAGGAAGTGGAAAGCCGATCAAGCGACCCAGTTTTTATCTTGGCTTAATCTTGGGAAAAGGTAAATTACGCCGAAGTTTGTCGGTGAAATACCTAATGAAATCTTTTTTTCAAAAAGGTAACTTATTAGAGAAAGTCTTTTGGTTGATCTAAGGCACATTCATTGCCAACATCCGTTGTAGACGCTCATTTCTCTCGGCAATAAGATTTCATATTTGAGTAAGTCTACAAATATGACCCAAACGGCTATGTGCACTGGAAAGAACGTCCAAGAACCCGCTACACCGGTAAATGCTCCGTGCTGGAATCTATTCTCAAACAGCAGGCTTTTGACCAACTGCTGTACGTGACATTACCCTTATACGTTAAGGATATGTGCATACAAACTTCATTAACGGACTACTTTTGGGCGTTATTAATGTGGGAACAACCGCTCAACAGGCCGCTATGCAAACGGCGAACTGGCAGAAAGTGGACACTCACCAAGGAGTTTTATCCGCTTGACCGTTTTCATTGAATTATTATCGACCAAGACGTTTACCGCAATGGACTCGCCGTGGTAGTATTTCTGAACGGAAAGATAAATAAGGTTGACCGTGGTGTGCGGGCGTACCATGCAGTTAGAGTAAAAAATGAAAAGGTAGGCGAAGCCGGCAAAAAAGTGAAACTGTAAAACTCGGCGTAGCTCGGTAAACGGTCTGTCATAGACATTTAGCCTGGATGTCAAGAGGATATGAATGGTGAAACAATCATGACGAGGGATTGAGATGCCTACTGTCAAAGTCTGCCAGTCACGATAATATTTCTTTCAGATGACGGCAAAGGAATTAGGCATAATATGGTGTAGAGAAAACGTACAGATTTTATTTGAGAAGAGAAACTTGCGTGCGACAAGACAGTTTAGATATTTTGAGTCACATAAACGATCAGCTGGTTACAAGTAATTTGACAGTATAGCCCTCACTGCATCCTCAGCTCGACAATAGAACGAACCATCAGTGATTCATTAAAACGCATCACGAAAGGTAGTACAAAACTGTCGCCGTCCCTGGTGCACCGGGTGCCTTAATGGGTGTCCAGCCAACGACGCGAAAGATGGCAACTTTCCCAACTGTACCGTCAGACTTGCTTAAAGACGCGGTTGTCCTTAATTCGGGGTGCAGTCCAAGGATCTAGATACTACCCGGCTGTTGGAGCTTTTAAACGACTATTTCTTAAGTGGCTTATGCGAGACATCGAGGCTAGTTTGTCTACATGACATATGCTAAACACAGGCTGAAGATGAAGGATACCTTAGAGTGCGCCTTCAGACTTTTCGGGAGCTATTTCGTCCCGAATAACAATGCTGAACGGTCGAAAGCGTCAAACGGCGCGTTTATAAACGTATATTTTAATGTAATACCACTTCCATCAGACAAGAATAAGTTGGAGGGGGGGGGGAGGGGGACGCCGCCATTTGCCAGGGAATTTCAATACGAAGATGTCCTTAGCATTCGCATTAGTACACGCCAAAGAGCTTAATTTAGATTGGCATTACCTCCATGACCACCTCTGTCTGGGGCTGAAGTAGACACTCGTGTTATGGAGGGGATAAACATCCCTCGTTCCGGCAGTTAATAAAGTTATTCTAGGTCGCAATAGTACACCAACGATAACGACACGGGGATTCCTGGTAAGAAGGACGATCACGCCCACGCGGGGTTTTGAAAACAGACAAAATTGGCCGATAAGAAACCTATGAGCAAGAGTTAACCGTCAGCTGCCGGTTGTTTTATTTTTCACGATAGGCCCACAACTCCCTCAAGTGTAGTGGTGGACAACTGCCTATAGTCTGGCAAACACAACTGCTGGTAGAAGGTCCCTCACCGATCGCGCTACTCTGCAGACGTTACTGTTACCAACGTTGAGTGATAATGAGGAAAACGCACAAGTAGTAGGATGACCCGAATGCTGGCACGTCTAAAAAACGTCAATTTATCTAGCACCTCAAAGACATTTCTGGTCCGACCAACGTGTGCAGTCTGACCTTTCAGAGTATCTGAAATCTGTCACAGCGACGGCTGCGTCGGTCAGCTTAATGTCTGGTAACCCACCGTCAGACTCTCAGGCGGTCAGGAGCTGGCAGACCATTAGACAAAGGTCTTGAATTATAAACATCCCGTCGTTCAGTTGATACGCCTGTATACGAGCGAACTTTCGAACAGGCACGCATACGCTGGGATTTTTGGTTCGGCCGTCGCCACATGTTGATGGGCAAGAAGTGTCAACTGTGTGAGGGAACAGTTGGAGGCGCTTTGGTTGCCCCTGCTGTGGCCGATTCTGCCGAATTGACTGCCCAAATTCACAGCCACAGAAACTAGCACTTGTCCCAAAGGTAGGGTCAGAAAAAGGTGATAAGTGGGCAGGGCGTATAAGGTTAAGAGGTCCCAAAACAGGGAGAATTCTGAGGACAAATAAAGCAAACTGCAGGCGTCTCGTCACAGCTTTAGTACGAGCACACACGAAGGATCAGCATGTTTGAAGCAAAGCGCTAAGGTACCAAGAAACTTCGGCTGATAAGAGATACTGCAATAACCTGCTTGTCAAGCGTAGCCTCAACGCGAAGACATCCGACGCTCATGAGGAACTCGCGCGAGACTTCTGTCGACGGTTGTGGCCCGGGCTCCTCTGGAGCAAAGGTCAACTTTCTTACAATCATTCGCACTGAATTTCTGTAGGAAATAAAGCAATAAAATTGATAAGTGGGGCAAAGACATCCTCTCGTGTGTTCAGAATGACAAGCACTTTATATGAAAACACCAACCACTGGGTTTGACTGTAAGTTATTTCTTTGGAAGATGGCGATACGCCCAAAGCATGCCTCATATGCCGTTCTCGGAAGTTCGATAAGTGAAAACGTCCTAAAAATACTAGATTTGCCCAAGGTCCTAGAAACAGCTAGCGATTGAGTGAAATCGTGATCATCCGCAGCAAAGTTATGGCTTTCAGAACCTGCTGGCTTCATTAAGGATAAAGTCAAATATAGCGCGAACTTGAAGTGAAAGGGCAAATTATTGCAATTAAGAAGGATACCCAATAGCACTCTATCACATTCAAACTGGTACGGGACAGAAACTCTCGATACCCCAATAAAGGGGCAGTCTAAAGGGCACGAAATTCACAAAGTCAGGTAAGCGAGTTACCGTTTCTGCGGCCGACAGTCCTCCTCATCAGCCACGTAGACCTTTAGTTCGTAATCCACGCGACAGGGCTAGAGATGAAAACAGGAACGAATAATATGATCAAAGTAAGGTTACCAAAACCATCAAAACGAACCTACATATCCAGCGCTCGTTTGGAAATCATAAGAGCAATTGACCAGGTGCAATCAAGGCGGTTAAGAGAAGGTCGGATTGGATATGATATAACGGTAGTATAATCCAGGACCACCTTGTTTAGCAGGAATGAAAGTGGCCGCAAGTTTTCGGAACGAAAAAATTGGCATAATCGATACATCTCGTAACCACCTAACCCATGGACGTTCCTATGCGTGGAAGTATTCCGAAGACCGGAACTCTTTATAAGGATGAAAGATCACGGCATGGGCCCAGATTTTACGTGGTGGTCGCTTTGTTCAGCCTCTAGCTGGAACCCAATCCTCATATGGAACCCCAAAATGCTGTGCTCCGGACGGTGGCCACACCCCCAGCAAACATTCCAACTGCGGACTCGAGTTATGACAGGTGCAAAGAGAGCTACGGCAAGACAGTCATTGCGCCCGGCCATATTTCCAGTCGTTTTGATGTAATTTCACTCTCGGATCACAGTAACAAGAGAAAGGACAGAGTGGAATCGGTGATACCCAAGTCGTCTTCGTCACTCAGTTACCTCCAACGTCAACCTTCAAAAGGTCCCATGGAGAGGGCAACAAACAACTCCTCGGTGGGACACCATGTCACGAGTTATATTGGAATTTGATAATCGCCTGGGACGTCTATGTAGCCTACTTAGGTGAATATCACTTTCGCTCGGGGGAAGAGGCCACAAGAGGTGCCCGAGGAAAATGGGACTTCAAGTAACTTGTTCAGGCGATCATAGCTGTGGAGCGCAGTTTGGAATGTGAGTTTTTAGATTGTAGGTGATGTCTTTGACATTAAAAATTACGCCAGGAATCTGTCCTCTCTTTCACGTGCAATTAACAACAAATTCATCGTAATACGACTTCCATTCCTCGGCAAAAAAATTATGCCATGATCATGAACGCTCATGTCAGCCGTCGCACGCTTTTAACAAAGGTGATATGGAGCGTCAAATGGCGCACCGATCCCAGCCTAGCCAACTTGAAGAGTAAAATGCAAATTCAAGTACGACGATGTTCTCAGGGGCTGGTAGAGGTGGAGAGGCTGAGCCCTGTGACACTGGACTTTGCCAAGCGTAGGGAAGTCTGATCTGTAGAGTGGATGCTAAGCAGACGATAAGCAGGTTCTGAGGGTGAGGAGTTAAGAATACATGGGACAGACAGCGGGTCGCATCTACACCATTCCAGAAACACCGGGGTTGGTTAAACAACCACACAGAAACCCAGTGTTCGCTGTCCGAAAAGAACCTGGACAGCGCGGCAGGTGTCAAGTGAAAAAGCCCCGGAGCTGACTCAGTTCCAGCAGACGTCTACAAATATGCTGACCGTAGACATTTGGACGAACTAACCTCACTAGTCAAAGAGACGTGGAGACGAAAACAAACTTCATAAAACGTCAAGGACACTACGAATGCATAAAGGTACAAGTAAAAAACAAATACAAAAATCCGCTGCAGTCACAGTGGGACCTCATTTCTCCGAATGGACTGCAAAATCTTCCTTCGCATTCCCCTCAAGGACCTGACCAAACCTACAACAAAGACTTCTTCAAGAGGTCCGATGTGAATTCTAGGAACGGGATAGTGTTAAGTGATATGATAATTGCAGCGCAACAACAGGAGATTTTCCGGAAGATGGAAATCAACCAATACGTCACTTTTGCAGATCTTACTATGGCCCCTGACACTGCGAACTGGAATGAGATTTGGAAGACTATGATGTAAATCGGATTCGCCAGAAGATTTACGCCGACGCTAAGGTAGTTTTATCACGACATGGTTGTGCACTTCACAGAAGTTCGCCGAGACAAGGTTGCTTATCAGCCCTAACTTTCTTCAGCCTTGCATTCTCTACAATGCTGATTGACGCCTATCATGGGGAGCGATCAGCAATCGACATCAACTATCCAACCGAAGGCAACCGCCCAAAGTACGCTATCAAGAAAATCTCGGGGACTTGGGAACTTTTTGCCGACGACCGCGTATCAAACGCCGCAACTGAGGAGGAGATGCGCCGAAGCCTGGGCTTTTTTGCCTCCAGATGAGCCAGCTACGAATTAAACATGAACAAGGAGAAAACTGTTGTCAAGCGTCAACTAACACGAATCGTGGAATAGACGGGGTTCCCAGTCATTCTCCATTGTGATTTTGCTATTGGTGTGCGCCGCAAACGAGCCCAAAAGAGGCGTTATGAGCAAAACGTGAAGGAACTGCCGAAGTATTCTTTCTTTGGCAGAATGAGGAGAAAAACTCAATATGGTTGGTGTAAAGAGTGTCACGTACGGGTAGAGTGGTTAAAATACCATTTTATCGTGTATATTATGGATTTCCCCACGCCTGAGGTGGCACACTGTTCCCTAACAAGGTTTGTTTTTTTAAAATAATGCTGAAAAGGGCTAAGCGGATGTTGATAAAGGAGACAGGCTGAAAGTCCGCTTGTGCTTAAATTCCTGTTAGCCGCTGCCGCCGTCGCCGCAGCGGTCAACAGAGCCGGCGCGGCAGCTGTGGCTAAGTCTCCTCACACGACCACAAAGGAAAAGGTGACCCTTACGATAGCCAAAAGCAAATCTAAGGTAGCGGCAATCAAAGCGCGAGAAGGTTGCAATCACACGAGCCAGAATTTAAGCTTCTACTGCCGTTGGCGCATAAAACAAGCATAAAACAGGCATTTCGTTGCGGAATAATGACAAGTATACCAACAGAACATGGTTATATTAAACTACCACAGCTACTACCTGTTTCTGACAGGAAGAGTTTCATCAAACTCATGAAAACTAAATGTGTAGAGAGAAGAAAAAACGCGCGGATAGTAGTTTGCTGTATGAAGGTGAAGGGGACAGAAACAAGACAACATGAGAGCTGGCCTTATGACCAGGTATTGTAGGCATAACGCTTTCGGCTGTGTGAGTCTGTCTTGTAAATAATGAATGCACAGGCAAGTAGAGCTTAAGATTTGCTGTTCTGATGCTAGAAAACTAGAGCAAAGCACTGTTTTTTTGTTTAAAGACGACAGATGCAGGAGTGTCCTTACTAACTAATGCTTGCGTTTCAAAAGCCAAGTCTATTCTAGCTCAACCGACCAAGTTCACGACAGAATACGGAAACAAAGACAGACAATGAGCTGTAACTTACCAAATACATGTCGGAAACGAAAGGATAGTGGTTTTCTCGGTCAGCACGAACTTACCACTAATACCACTACCAATACTACTATTACCACAACATCAAGATTGCAAAGCTTGTCCGAAAAATGGTCTATTAAGCAGAACGAACTACCTAGCTAGTAGGCGCCAATATGGCAGGGTTATTTCGAAGCTAGCCAACAGCAAAGACAGAGGAATTTTTGACGAAACTTGAGACTGGTCACACTCGGGGGCAGGGAACCCTCATTAGCTGAAAGCGTAATGGGGTCTCCGTCATTAAGTATAACCTCATTTTGTGAGGCCTGAAGCAATGTCGGGCGGTGGGACAGGGGTATGTGCGCAGCAAAGGAAGCTTATCGTAGGACGGCAGTAACCAGTATGAGGCCGGCCAAGAAAACATGCCACTTTACATTTCTGGTCGATTAAGTGCATTGTACGCTAAGACAATGGAGAGCCGACCAAGCTCTTCGAAATGTCGGCACCTAAATAAACCCGTTCCGGTGAGCCCATCTTCTTATTCAAACCAACCCTGAGCCCAAAGGACCAGACCGGGACGTTTTGGCTGCCGTAGCTGCATAGCTGCCTTCCATAAGCTAGCCCTTTATTTTGTTTATTGCGTGAAGGGGAAAACAATAACCCGAGTCAAGCCTTCATCTGGCGACATTAATGACAATGATTATGAATAGTGGAGGAAGAACCGGAGAATTATTTGTGAGGGAGATGTCGACGATTTTTTAAGACTTTAATTTACTGAGATCCTAACTTTCTCAGCACTCTGTTAGCAGAACTCGCTCGATGCTTGGTTTAACTCGAGGCATTAAAATCAACCATCCCATATTGTTCATCCTCTTTAAACTCTTTCTAGGATGTTCATGCAGAATGAAAACAATGTCAAAATGTAGACAAAAAGCTAACGAATCGGCGACGAACCTTTCCTGATTCTGAAGAGTGTAGGAGGAGTGTGACGGAGGCTGGCGTGTACGGTGGAAGCTAAAAGAAATCTCGGACGGGTTATCGTTTGAAACCGAAAAACATATATTTAAAGTTATAAAGCCCGTTGGAGTGAGCGAATGCCATTCTCACCAGAGTGTCAGTGCAATCGAACCTCGCCTTTTGACAGTAAGAGCGCCGAGTAAAGACGACTAACACGCAGATCACAAGGCAGCCAAGGAAAAAGGATCAAGGGTTGGTCCATGATGCTGTCAAGTAACAAGATAGCGGCTCTTCCGGGTATGTTCACTGTTCACGCCAGTCAGTAACACCATCGTCTAGGCACAGATGGCACTCAGTGGCACTGACAGCTAAATATGGCTTTGGAGGCAGAAACAGTTGCGGCCACAGTATTAGCTGTTTTCGCCTGTCATCAGATGACAAAAGGCTGTGTGACAAAGAAACTCAGTGGCGGTCCACAAAAAATCAAAATGTACCTCTGGTACAGACGTCCTTTAGTAGAAATAAGGTCTGCGAACGACAAATGGTCGCAAAATCATGACACCGCAACACAGCTTGAGCCGATGGATGATGCCATCCTTCTAACTTGGCGACTGCATGAACCCTTCAGATCCTTCAGAAGTCTCGCAATGCATGGGACAGCATAAAAATCCTACAGTTGACTGGACAGATAGTCCCAGATATTTCTTCTGCAAACACTGCAAAATGACAAGGAAGTCGGCTGGACATGACCGCCAAAACTACTGGGTGCGGTTTCGACTTCCACAGGGCAGGCCTCAAACACTGCAATGTGACAGTTGCTGTAGGCATAAAACAGAAGAACTGCCTCTTCTGTCGGTCAAAAAATATGTCGAAACTGTGAACCTTCGCTAACATTCTAAGAAAGGCCTTAAACTCAACGTCCTTCAGCGTCGGCAAGGAGAACAGGACAATTTTATGGAGGAAAAATCCCGCTCATACACAGAATCACTGCCTCCGGTTGCACTTTTGAATAAAATTCCAGTTTTTGTCAGTCATCATTCTAATGGAGAGGCGTTCACCGATCGTGTTACAAAACTCATTCGTCCCGTTGTGTCTTCGGACTCCCTCTCGAACCCAGCCAGTAGCCGGATAGCGGCGACTAATATGGACAGAATGGCATTACCGACCAATACAATGGGGACTGGAATGGCCATTACTGGCTTATTAGCTGTCGTAGGCCGGTCATACGCAACCCCGAAGTGTTCAACACCTGGGACTCGGTCTCGCGACCCGCTGGTTACATGTTTAACGCCTAAACCACTGAACCACGGGTTCGTTGTCCAGTTGGTTGCAATTGGGCATATACAATGGTAGGAAGGCGCTAATCGATCATTACTGAACTCATTCGTCCCGTTGGTGTCGGCATGCCCGGCTGACGATGGCTAATAAGCCAGAAACGGCCATTCCAGTCTCCCTTATATTTGTCTGCAATGCTATTCAGAGGTCAGTCTCTCGACGTGTGACCTTAAGAAAATTTTTATCACTACGATCTCCCCAACCAGGAAAGAAACCTCACTGCAGTCACGTGCACCCCGGACAGGGCAAAAAATAAATATTTTAATCAGTATCGGTGTGCATAGCTTCGTCCAACATCAACCGGTCGGTCGGACGTCGTAGCGACTATCACGACAATTCATGGAGGATATTTAACTCGACGTTTGAAACTATTTCAAAAGTTCATTGTACATATTCCCTTTTGGTTAATTAGCTGTTAGCGGAGGCATGGACTCTGTATTTGTACAAATCAACTTTCCTCAAATGACTTCTCTTCTTAATATGGCATCCACATTCTTCTCATAAAAGCTATTACTTCTCGGCGATGGAATGACACCTCCACAGCAATTTCTTGCTTTCTTTTAAGGCAAGATCATTATTTTCGAACGAGCGCTGTAGACGATGTATTTCGTTTAGTTCCATAAGTGCTACGATTTTGTAAATATGCGCCTATATTGTCCGTTACGACATAGAATAAAAGTCTTCTCAAAATTTTGGTGCCGTGGCTCTATAATGTGATAAAGCAGCCATGGCAAAATGGGACCACTCTTGGTGACAGGGATGAAGCCATCCTTGTCAGGAGGCGAATGCTCGAGTTCCAGGTGTATGTTTAAGCAAAGAGGATGTGGTGACCACCGGAACAATTTTTTTATTGCTAAGAACTTTTGAACTCGTGCAGGAGGTCAGCTAAAAACCTAGTTCGATAGTCGACGAAGACATAAACGTAATAACTGGGCATGCGTTAGTCAGTTTTGGGCAATGGAAAAAAGTCAGTCGAGCCTACAGACAAGTGGCCACAATCGTCACGCGTGGAGGTACAATACACAGACTTGCTGTAAGCGGTTAGAGGAGGCATTATCAAATGCATACAGAAGAAGTTTTCAACGAGATCATATAAGTCTGCTCCAGAAAAACAGCTGCAAATAAGACGGCAGCTATTTAGCTTTCAACGTCTAGTTTGGCTGACCCCGTGTCCGTTTGGATACTGACACCAGGATGTATCCTTAAGACTAGTCTACAGCGATCAATGCACGATTATGAAGTGTGCTGGCACCATATAGCATGGCAGTTGTGGGGAGAGCAGAAATCAGACCAATCTATTCAATCAACGCTTTGTTTAAGCTTTCAGGCTCCTTTTGCGATCTTAGAAACTCGCTTGTCATTTATTTGCACCTTGAAGTAGCGTAATCGCCAAACCTGCGGAGCCGCCTTATCATCACACAAGTCCACGGTTAACTACTCTGGGTAAGTCGCTGACGACCACCAGTGACTACTGGCAACACTGGCAGTGTTGGCGAGGTGTGAGGTTTAAGGGGAAATGGTAACGAATTGAATTTCTGTTCACAAAAGGAATGGGAGTGAAGGTTGACGTTTGTAAAATGGGGGCTATGGTCATTGAGGGCCCAGCTCTTGCAACCGACCCCTCGAGACCTTAACAGACTGTGCTCTATTGCAGTAAAGCCGTCCGACATACGAATCAGCCTTGTTCTAGCCACCAGCGATCCTACCCATACATGTGACTGAAAACCAACTGCAGCCCGGCGAGTAACGCCGACACCTCAAATCCTTCTTGTTATAGGGCTAGAGTGAAACACCAAAATATCGCAAAGACAAAGAAAGGGCGATGGCATGCTCCTGGTGCAAGATATGAGAAGATAGAAAACAAACGACTAGCGAACAGTATGTACAAATCTAGGTTGCGATGCCTGTGGATTGAACATTATATAAATTTTTCTAAAACAGACCACAGCGATAATGCTGATGCAATTTATCGTGAAAAATGTAAGGACAACTAGGAGCGTGAAGTTTCTCGGTTCGAATGTTTTAACTAAGTGCAGACGATTGAGTGCAAATAGCCTTGGGTAGTGTTGTCCTCCATGACATTTCTAAGCTAAGCCGCTGAAGATCAACGGCGGCCATTACGAAAAAAGATCAAACTTTCAATTTCTAAGGTATGCAGAGGGAGACAATGGACAATAAGTAAGCAAGGCAAACTATAGCCAGAAGTCTTTTAGTGACTAACTTTTTTTCTAAGAAAATATAACGGAGGAATCGGTCCTAGCAAATATGATAACTAGAGGTATTCCATAGATGTTTTGGCAGATTTTTAATAATTCATGTTGACTCAACTGTGAAAACTCGGCGACTCGGTGGGATTCGAACCCACAACTGCAAGGGGAAGGCTTAAGTACAGTCAAAACTCTAGCCACCTGAGTTACGAGACTCCAGCCGGTGGCGTGAATTTAGCCACATTTGGGTCAAGCTACTCGCCCAACCTACTGCAAAGTCTGGAATCCACCAAATCTGATAGAGAAAGCTGACTGCCCAAGCAGGATTTCCTAAGTAATCGACCTAGAATCCACCAGATAACTACCGGGTTCACGTAATTCATAGATGTTTTGACAAATTTTGAGTAGTCCATACTGGCCCAACTGTGAAAAACTCGGCGCCTTGATCACATTCGAACACACGGCAGAAAGGGGAAGCCTTTAGTACAACCAACGCCCTAGCCATCTAGACTACGAAACCCGTAGCTCAGGTAGCTAGAGCGTTGGCTATACTAAAGCCTTCTCCATGCTGTCTTTTGCTCGGATCCCTTCGAGGTGCTGTTTTTCACAGTTGGGTCAATATAAACTAAAGATATGTAAATGCGAGACAAATAAACACCCGGATATTTGGGTAACCACTATGTGGATTTCAGCGAGTAATACCTGTGAAACATTAAAAGCTCAAAGTACTAGGAAATTAGTTGATATATTTAATTATTTCAAGTTGGAAAGTGTGCTGTGATACTAGGCACCATCGAGCAAGCACTATTTCAAAAGGATATTTCTGAAGGAATTGCAGCCCTGAAAATTTAGGCATTGCTGATTGCATAAAGTCTCAAGTAAAAACGGGCGAGGTCTGGAGAAACAAAAGGCAAAAAGGACAGTAGTAAAATTCAGAGTGCCACCGCAAGTAAGAGAAATTACCTCAAAGGAAAATGGATACGTGTTTGGGCCAAGTTTTCGCAAGAGACGTTCCTGTAGTCGCGTTATTTGACGAAATTCTGGAACTGGCCCAACGGTGCTAACTTGATTGTCATCAGCACTAGAGCAGCAGTCATTGGTATGATAATCATTTGAATGACCGGGGTGAGACGTGGCGTCGCAATTGACCGGATACACCTGTTTGATTTTAAGGAATAAATTCCGATGACAGTTGAGACCAAAGACATCATCTTCTTTTCCATGGCGAAGTGCACAGAGAAGGTGAACGAAGACCTTGCGTCCGTGAACATATTCTGGGTCGAGTAGCACAACACCCTCTAGGGGAGAGATGCGAAAATTCGGAATGCAGTTGCCTGGGAAATAAAGGAGCTTAAAAGCTAGAACTGATACTAAAATCTTGTTGTTAAATGATAAAGCACATGGTTGATTCAAAACGGGATTTAGGACGTTCCAGTTAAAGGCAATACATGCGTGCTTAAAAGCACGGGAAGCGGAGCCTCAGTTTACAACGAGAAGTCAGACTGTCAAAATATTGATACTATGACGGTCGGTGTCCTGGACAACTATCTAGGTATGTCGTCTATCCAGATGCTTAATATTAGACAGAAAATTGCAGTGATCGTCTTGTGTGACGAGGCAGAACATCGGGAATGAGCACGACATAAACACAGTCGGAAACGTAGAGAAACGGTGGTGCGGACGGACTCTGGGAACATAGTATTTCCTTTTTCAAAAAACGAAAGTGGCATAGAAAAACCAGACGATCACAGAATAAGAGTACTCAAATACCAATGGGATCCACGTCCGAGAGATGGTCAATAAAGTCCCTTTTTCCGAGATAGACAGTTAGCTGAAAAAGAAACTAATAGTGGGATAGAAAACAACGAACCTTCCCATTTGGGGTCGCCTTTTTAAAAATTCTGAACAGTCTGTTACATCAAAAATAAAGCTACCGAGTGCCGTGTCTTTTTAAATCCGTCATCGTGATACCAAAGGGAGGATAAGTATAACCTTTATACAGGCTTCTCTGCGTTTTTAAACTAAGTTGCCATACAGATAATAACTCGTAAACTGGCAAGCAAAAGGCAAGCGGCGACAGCAACGGCCCAAAAACATTTTACGGGGTATTCTATACACACCGCCACAAACTTCCCGCGCACAAACGGGTCAGAGACCAAGCGAGCTTATTTTTGACCTCTTTTACGGAGCTGTGAAATAAGACAGAGATCCAATTCAAAACAGACGCGTACCACGCGCTCTGAATTTATTTATTTGTAGGATCGACAGACGGAGTTCGTGTCCCATCTTTTGCGTGCGCCTCAACCCTGCACCTATTTCCTTCGTCCAGCAGGTTGCCGTGAGGCACTTGTGCGTGAGAACCAAATAAATAACCGTCTTTGATTGCGTAGTCTTAGATGATTATCCTTCCATTCATTATTATATTTCTTTTAAGTAAAAAATCCTCTGATCACTTTAATTTGACAGATCGTCAGTGTAGCTGTACAACAATGTCGGAAGTGAGTCGAAACCATTCCATTACTGAGCGCCGCGTCGCCAGAGAGGATGTAAAAGAATCAGGTTTTGCTGGTAATATAGTCCGAAAATACCAAGCCTATCACAGGCACTGCAAACTCCTTCCACTCCTTAAGAGTATATTTTCACTGAATTCTACTCAAGTTTCAAAAATTAAAATGATCGTTAGTGAACGTTGTTTTGGATGTCGACTTCAGACAGCACTCTGTTAACTACGATATTTATGACAGTTTAAAGACGCTTAGAAAGCAGTTGTGTTAGAGTATTAATGGACAGATAAATTTGACTGATATGATAGATAGCGAATCAACAGGCAAGTACACAACAGTGGCGTCAAGTTAGATGGATTAACCTTCACCGGTATAACGAGCTCGAACAGGTATATCAGATCAGAGGTGTCGAAGCATGCCTTATGCAGATAAATGGGACACGTTTATTGTTTTCATTTCGTACATACCGGAACCTTCGGCAGAATGCTCCGCAACCTGATGAAGTCACCTGAGTTTAGACAATTTTGAGCGGGCACGACCTCAAAGCGAGTACCGCCGATTTTCCGGAATTAAACGTTCCGATAAATACACGACCATCGTACTCATTTGCTGCTTTAACCTATTAAGGTTTCCCAGGACACTGGCCAACGTCCCTCGTAAGTATTTAGTGCGGCTTAATAAGCCGCAAATTTTCGTTATAAGTCTGCAAAAATTTTACTTTAGTATTGTACGATAGAAGCAAAGGCGCACTTTCAAAACAAACGATAACAATCGTCACTCAGAATACTTCAACGTGCGAGGCAAAATTTGCCTGTGAAATAATGTTCCATCAAAAAATTCAAATCTGAAATTGACGCTTTTGCACACTGGCACTAGCGATGGTTAGTTGCGTTAGATTCGTGGCATTCAGAATTTTCGTAAGCTTTTTTCAATTTTGGAAGGTAATAAAAGGTTGACTCAGTATGGAAAAAGTAAAAGCATAAAATAAGTCCGGCAATGTATAAAATGGATACGCGAATCTTTTCAAAACAAGGATTATATTCCTGTTTTATGCAGTACTCGACCATAAGATACCATCACATCCGCGGGAAGATATGAGGCAACATGTTCACACGGTTGTTAGTGACGAGGATCACCCATGCGAACCTCGGTTCGCCTAGCATTCCTGTCAAGCACTGCGTGCGAACGACACAATCGTCGCCTTCGCGAACTTGTCTTGACGCCGATCAAAGTTTTTGCCTTCAACGACTTGTTGTAGTCGCACATACTTCGCGCCTGAACGAGCAAATTAGCCAGCATACAGATTCGGAGACGATAGCTGTCTAAGGAGACCCTCTGCTGCAATTGCTATTTTGCTTTTGCAATCCATAGTTTCAGTAAAATCTGCCAACCAAATGTATTCACTGCCTCATAATTCAGGAAATTTCCAGTTGTCGACTACGGTACATCAGAAGGTGTATCGTGGCTTATCCACGCCGAAAGGAACGCAGGAGGTTCTCACATCAACTTACCAGTTGGCTTGTAAAGAGGCACATCATCGGAAGGTCCTCAAATGCTGCGCACTCAACTACGCCGGCTCGTCTTGGATATAAACTCGCGGGCCTGAAGCACAGATGGCTAATCCTATGCAAAAGTAAAATTTAACCTAGAGAGAATTCAGTTTCCTTTTCAGCAGAGAATTAATTTATTAAATGGATCGAGAATTTCCTCGTCGGCCTTTTGCAAATCGCCGCATGGAACAACTGCAACCTATGCGCGTAATCACAAAGAATGGACTCTCAGAAGGCTCCATGCTCTGACCGATCCCCTTTCTCTTGTTTATTAATGATTGTGTAGAGAATTTCCACCGTGATTGTGTCATGTTTGCACATGATATTAAAATCTGGAAAGTTATCCACAATGCTGCCAACGAGACCAACTTCCAAGAATATTTTTGTCGATTGGACGAGTGGTCCCGCAGATTGCCCCTGGCCCTTAACTTGAACAAATGCTCCATGCTGCGTCTCGGAAATCCAAATCAAACCCCTAATACGCGGCAATACTCACTGAACGGGATATCGCTCCGAGAAACGGAAACTCAGAAAGATCCCTGAGTCTGGGTTGCAGACGGTCTAAGGTTTTCTACACAATGTTGTAAGGCTGCTAATACCTCAACTCAATGCTATACGTTACCAAACGAGCATTCACAGTTTTCAATGAAGTATGCTTCTTCAAAGGCTGTGGCATATATGCACGGCCGCAGCTGGAATATGCAATCCAAGCCTTGAGACAATGGACACAGCAGGATTGCAATCTACTCAAAAGGGTGCAGAGGCGAACCAAAAAACTAGTAAGAGGTCAGAATACAGTGCCTTATGATACCCACCTGAATATCGTTTATGTCTATCCTCTGGGTTGTGGTTGGTTGCGCGAACATTTGATACGAGCTTTCCGTACCTTGAGTGGCTTGGACTGCGTCCTCTGGTGTGATGATGGTTTTCAAATTGCCACATCAAATAACCTCCGGGGACGTCCCTTCAAACTACGTGTGCCCCAAGCGAGATTGGATGTGAGAAATTATTTTTTCACGAACCGTGTCGTAGGACCGTGTAATAACATTCCCGTGGGGACTGTAAAGTCTCCGTTTGTTGAGACACTTAAATACCGTCTGGACAGGCATCTAATGCACCAGAAAGCTGAATATTTGACAGTTTGGCCAGAAATACCACTGCCGTAAGCAAATCGATGTATGCGTTCACTTGTTGCTGGAATTTCTTCATATTGATGTTAATTTTTTAGATAGTTATGCACGTATAGGGAGTGGAATGGCGTAGGTCTACATTCTCTCAAGTACACTGAATACTGGACAGGCGTCATCCATCCGCAAATGCAGCAAGTCTCCCTACCAGCACATGGCCCGTCCATAGGCGGGACCGGGAAGGGGCTGGGTGGGGGGCATAGCCCCCTATGGATTGAAATATTTGAGGCGTATTCGCATCGAAAGGTATGTTTTAAAAGCACCACTCATTGTACATTCTTTGGCATTAAAACGAGCTAATTTCTCAAAAGTGGCTTATAAATCACGGAAAAAGCATCCGTTTGCGCCTACGGGTCGCGGATAATATCGTGCGTCAACCAATTCTGTTTTTGTGCTCTTGATAACTTCCTTAGTTAATTTATGTATCTTATGCTAATTGTTTTGGTATTTACTCACCAGCCAGTTCAAGTAGTCGACTTGCATGTCTAAGTATGTACTATTTAGCCTTGGTGTTGCACTTATACAATTTATTTATCGTTTTTTTGCTGAATATCCAAAGCAATTATGAAGCGTAATTACTGTGGCTCTCATCGAACCACCATATACAAGCGCATTAAGCACCAGATGGGGACATATTATGAGGCCACTGAAGAGTCTGAGTCTGGGGTTCCCTCAACGTCGACAGCAGTTGGCAATCAATCCCTGAACAAGAAATGCCTATACTGAGCTCTGAAAATTCTGCCGGCAGGTATTTTGTGTGTGCGCCTCAGGGGACTTATCATACAGGTCGATATTTTAAAGGAGTGCCAAAATTGGGTGGAAATCTGGCCTGGTGGGGCCAGGTGGGGCTATCGTGTTGAATTCCCCGCCACAGCCCCTTCTACAGCCCCGCCAAGCCCCTTCATACCCCCTCTTGCCCCACCATACTTGAGGAGGTTACGCGGGGCCGGTGCTGGCAGGGTTAATTATAGGTTGATCAGGCCCAAAGGCTAGTTGGTCCCCTCACCAAATGGTAATTTTGCGCTAATAAACTTGATTCTCGGCTGTTCCTGAGTACCTGTAAATTTTATTTCGCTGATGGGGCCAGGCGGGGCTGTCGTGTTGAATACCCCGACAAAGCCCTTCCAAAGTCCCGCCTAGCCCCTTCATAGCCCACTTTATCCCCGACATTTTTGATGGGGTTAGGTAGGGCTAGGCGGGTCTAGGCGGGGCTGGTGCTGGTGTAACGACCGATTGTTTTAAACGGAACTTTTTTACTTCCCGCCCTCCCTTTTCAGAGTTTGAGTCACGTGGGTTGGAGCCGACGCCTGTCGACGCGCCCTCCGCTAAGTCCCCTTTTCCTTATCGTTTCCGTAGTCCTGGACTACCGATTCGTTTTCGGTCTCGTTTATATCACAACTAACCAATCTTTTTCCGTATCTCGCGTTTTGTCGATTCATAGGATTAATTTGTATTCTCATAGTTGTTTAGTAGTCTGTACCCACCATTTTTTACCTTTATTATAGATCGCGCTAAACTTATTTTTCTGCGTGCCGCCAACCTTTTGCCAATAAACTTTTATATCCAGTTCATCTGTCGCTATTATGTCCACTCCACCTCTTTCATTTGCTAGTGTGTATGATGAAGTAACTCAACTTTAAGAGGAGTTTTCCTTGGCTATCCATACGAAAGACCACAAGCCATCACGTTCAACTTCAGGCCTCCCCGAGTTTCCCAGAGTAC